GGAAATCTGTCACCGGTTGCGAAAAAACAGTCCATACATGAGACGGGACAGTGTTACAGGTCAAGTTGCACTGCAACACGTTGAAGTTGGTCCATAACTTGACCTACACGTCGAATTAGGCTCTGGTACTTTGCTGAAAGGTCGACAAGGCCTGTACAAACTCGTTGTCGCCACTTTGAGCTGCGTAATTCTCCACACGCGTAGGTATATCACTGTAGAGACTCTGAAGAGATTCCCAGGAGTCTTCTTCGTCCTGCAAACCGACCCAGGACACGAGAAGCTGCCATCCATGTTGGGTCTTGCGGTGATCCTTAAAATCTTCGACGCCAAGGACCATACCTTGGTTGCCGACATGGGCCAGGAGTTCCTCGCTGGTGCCCAGGCTTCCGTCACGGTAGAACTTGAGCCGGGATATATGCACCATGTAGCGTTGGCTACTCACCAAGTGGCGAATCATATAGGAATGAGGGTGCTCCTCGACAACTTCGAATGGTCCCACCCAGCGAGCGAGTAGTTTGTTTACCGAAAGGCGAGAGTCGATCCTTGACCACAGTACGAAATCACCGATAGTGAAATTGCATGGTACTCCATTAGAGCGGCTCATGTTCTGCAACCGACGTCGCTCCCGAATGTCCACCACCTCCTTGTGCATTTCTTGTAGACTTCGTTGCATGTTCTCCACCATTTCGTCAGGAATAGTCACCGGCTCAGTCACCATCATGGCCTTGCCGTTGCGCTCAACTACGATAGTCTCAAATGGTGTAGGTCTAGGTAACGCGGTGAAAAGCTCACCAGGGGACCGGTTGCCTAATGAAGCCACTGGAGTGTGATTCAGAATCCCTTGCACTACCGGAACGAGATATTCCCACTCATGCGTGTCCAGCTTCATCTCCATCAGCAGAACACGTAGAACTTGCAGCACATCTCGATTCAGTCGCTCGATAGTACCGTTGATCCACGGAGCGTAGGCTAGAGCTAGATCCTGTTCAATGGAGGGCTGTTTGCAAAGTTGCTGTACAACCTGGTTCTTGAAATGGCTTCCTTGATCGGAAATCAAATTTTTAGGCGGACCAAAACGCTTCGACCAATCCATGAGTGAAATGGCTGCCACGACACTTGTTGGCGAATCGCAAGCCACCAATTCACAAAAATGAGTAAGGCCGTCCTTCATTACGAGTAGGTACTTGCATTCACCCACACTGTCACCAAGAAAAAGAAAATCCCAGTGGAGCATCTCGTTTCGCTCAGATGCGTCGTATGTAGGTCCCCAGGGGAGTGGAATCACATTACCACCTTTCACGTGTTTGCAGAGAAGGCATCGTTTCAGGAATTGCCGGCAATGTTGTTCCAGGCCTTTGATCGAGAAAAGGTCTTTGACTGTAGTCATCATCGCGTCAAGTCCATGGTGTCCTTGACTACCGCGATGAGCCACAATGAGAATGCGCTGTCGTAGCTCCTTCACGGACTCTGGTATCCATATTTTTCCGTCGACAGTCATGATGCCATTGTGATCGCACACCGTTGCTCTGGGTGCATTCCGCTTGTGTTGCTGTTGCACTTGGCTGATCTCATTCAAGGTCGGAAAGACAAAGTCGCCTTGACGCGGACGCAGCTCGTCAAGTTGGCGTTCAGTCGCGTCGTCAATGCGTTGCTGGCTACGCGTGACGAATTTGCACTTCACGTGCACCCCTGCCTCACCACAAGAACCCCACCGCGAGAGTAGATCGGCCCACACGTTCGCCGTACCATCGATGTGGTCGATTTGGTAGTGAAGACCAGTGAGAGATAACGCCCACCGTTGTAATTTGCCACGCACGTGACGTTTAACTTCGTGTGTTGGTGCGAACACGTAGATCAGGTTCTTGTGGTCGCAGAACAGCCTGAAGCCTGAAGAACGGACGAGAAGATGGCCCAGGTTGCGGGCAGCCCAAATGATCGGGTACGCTTCCTTCTCAATGATGCTCCACCGACGTTCCGTCTCGTCGAAAATTCCGCTTTTGCATACTAGAAGTTGGTGCTGCTGCTCGTTAGCAGGTAATGCAGAGTCCCAGTCATCCACTTGAGTCACGACGAGCCCCCACCCCAGTTCACTGGCGTCACTAAACACGGCCACTGTGGACGACGTCGTCGGAAAATGCAACAGTTACGAGGATCCAAGCAGGGTTTTTGCGGAGTTGAACACGTCTTCTTCGTCCAAAGTCCACGAAAGAAACACCCCGGCTGCTAGTTTCTTAGTTCGCCCATTAACACATAAAACCGCCTCCAACTTGTCATGCAACGGGCGCATGGTGCGGCCAAAGTCGAGCAACGTATCGCGCATCCACCCAGCAGCACACAAAAATTGTTGGAGGTCAGCGGCTGTAGTAGGGAGAGGAAGGGCTTGCAACGCACTAATGCGTTCAGGGTCATGGCGAATGCCAGTGCCACTGAAGATGCGGCCACACCAACGGATCTCCTTCTGAAACAAACAGCTCTTACTCACGCTGAGTTTCAGCCGGTGAGTGCGGACAATAGAAAAGAATTCACGAAGTGTAGCGATAAACGTAGGCGCATCGTCCGCATAGACGAGAATATCGTCAATCCACACAAGTAGGTGGGCGTACAGCATCCCGGCAAAAACCTTTTGCATCTCGTTCTGAAAATGTGTTGCCGAATCACTCGCTCCCTGTGGAACGCGCGTAGGTGTCCATACAGTACCGGTCGTAACAAAACTCATTATCTCCTGGCTGTCAGGATGTAGAGGAAGCTGCCAGAATCCCTTTGGCATGTCGAAATCCGCGAAACCGTAAGCTCCGGCCGCTTCGTCGGCAGAATCCGTCACATCCTGGGCTGCTCCAGCGATCGGTACGGTCAGTGCATTTACAGGGCGATAGTCGACTGTCATCCGGAAATCACCTAGTGACTTGGGTTTGGCCACAGGCACAGCTGCACATGCCCAATGACTTTGGTTATTTTGTCGAATAAAGCCCATCAGCTCGAGCCGCTTCGTGTAGTCCCTAAGGAAAATGCGTTGGACTTTGGCATAGCGCCGTGAACGCGCTCTAAAAGGTACAGCTCCGTCCACCAACTGAATTCGCAGTGGTTCAATGTCGGCAGGGGGACCAGCACCCAGGTCAATCCGAAAAATATCCTCATACTCCAGCACGGTATCGTGAAGAAAAGAGAGATAGTCAGCGTCAAAACCATTATTCCCAGCTGCGACCACCATATCTTCCAATTTACTGCGAGCTTCCAAACCAGAAAGCTCGAGATCTGCACATCCATCGTCTTCAAATGGGTCCACATCTTCACTAAGTGAACCCCCAGCCAGCTGTTCAAGTTGCTGGTTTACATCAATTCCGAGTGAGACGAGTGTCGTTACCAAGAAGAAAATCGGTCTCTTCACCCTCCATAACCAAACAGGTCACGTCAGGTAGCTTCACAGTACCCGCTGCCGATTGCAGCACGACATCCACCGTAACAGAGTCAAAACAGGTAACTGTAGAACCTCCAGCAACGATAGCCTCAATTGGAGAGGGTAGGACATGCATCTCCACACCGCTACCAAGTGCAACTAACTCGTCGACCACTGCACGAGGGATAACAGATGAGTCAGATCCTGAGTCAGCACAATACGGCAAGACCACGAGCTCGTTGATCATCACTTCCCCTGGTTGAGGCAAAGTCCGGACCACCTTAACTCGTGACCGGTCCTTTATTTCATCCATCTTGTCGACAGCACGTCTCTTGTCGTCATCCGTCGCTGTCGGACAGTCACGAAGCCAATGCGAGCCTTGACAGACCCAGCAGCCAGTCTTGGGTGGCTTTGAATCCTTTCTCTGGGGTTGAGACCCAGTATTAGTCGTTGGTGAACTCCGCTGAGTGCCGTCTCTACGGGCTTCCACAGCAGTATGCTGTTCTCCACTACCGGTTTTAGTCTTCGTTTCATTATGGCTAGACCTTCGGTTAGGTCCAGATTTGGACCTGTGCTCCATCGACAGTAAGTGATACTTGTGCTGAGCCCGTGCCTTCTCTTTAATGATGTTAAAGAGCATGAAATCGTTTCTCTTCGCCTCTCTGCACTCATACTTGCAATGTCGCTTGACATCATCACGTACCATACGAGGCTCAAGGTTGTCGATCAAGATGGTGCATCGTAACTTCATACGCTCAGCAAAACTCTCTGCATCTGGGTCTCCGACACCAAGTATTTTTCCTAAACCATGGTTCTCAATAATGGAGGAGAAATCACGGTAGTAGCGTAGTACACGAGCATCGATATCATCTTCTGCCAAGTCGATCTTCAGCTTCTTCTTGAACAACTCGTCCAAGTCAGGGATCTGCTCGTTCTTTACAGTACCAATGCGCTGCTTAATCAGCATGAGGAGCTCCTCACTGCTGACGTTATCTACAGCCTTCCGTAACTCGTACAGGCATACCACCTCCAGCAACTTCCGGTCGATTGAGGATTTTACTGGTTTCATCACGGTCTCGGGTCGTTCACGACTCTCAAAACAGCGTTGCCGAATAGTTTCCTCGTACTGGTCACGTGCTTGGTTCCATTTGACCAATGCATCATGACTCCAGTCGTTCAACCACGGCGCCTTGACGAACTCGAATACCGGTTGATTTACAGACTTCATCACTGCGTCACCATCAGCTTCGTACTGATGTGACTTGGTTGCCATGCTTTCGGTCCCTTAGGACTAAAGTATACTTTGTGGTAGTTACCGCTTTGCGTTGCTGAAATGCTGGTGCTTGTTGATTGCAAGTTAAGAAGTGAGCTTCCTTTTTACTAACTCCTGCTCCTGCGTTCTACTCGACTCCTCCTACTCCTATCAGGACCAAGAGCTTCACCCTAGGCACAGCCTTGAGAGTCGAGCACCAGGGTTGCAGTAAGACTGCAACCTCACGTTGATAGACGACGCTGTAGTTTGGGATGGGGTTCTTGATTCAGGATAGCCTCCTTGCCGTTGAGGTACGCCTCCTTGCTTGCCACACACTACAAAGGAGCAGATCTGCTACCAATAGACTTGGCGGTTGTATGCAATGGTGTAGTGGAGACGTCCATTCCTGTCGATTAAAGACACGTGTTAGGTCTGATATTTTGTTGAACCACCAGACGTATCCCATCCTGCGCGTCGACACTCGCTCCACTGGAGAGAAGAAGACGTGCGACCTCGTACGCATCGTCCGTTGTGGCATGATGCAGTGCAGTCTTCCCTCGCTGACACTGTTTGTCGACATTAGCATTGAAACGTAGGAAAAGTTGGATGAGGGACACTGTGTGACGTGTCCGTAGATCATCTTCCTCTCGACACTGAAAAGAAGAAAAAAATGTTGGCATGATCAGAATAAGTTAATAAAAAGATTTTTTTTTTACTTACGTCCATGGCCAAGTTTCGCTGGATTGCAACGCGTTCGCGGTAGACACAGCGCGTCGCTTGTAAATTGTGGTGCATGATTGCCAACACAATTGCTGTCATGCCGCTTTCGTCTTCTGTATCGGGGTCCTGACCCTCTTCAAGAAGATACTGGACAATCTTATTGTCACTATGCCAGGTCGCCGTGTGTAGGGCCGATGCTCCGACGGTGCGCAAGTGGAAACCGTCCCAACTGCAGAAGCCAGGCGACCGCGAGGGCAGGAAACCGTCGGAATCGTTCGTCGCCGTGTCTTCGTCGACGGTCTGTCAAGATTCTTAATTTTAACAACAGACAAGCGGGGTGGAAGAATAGATTGAACGTTTACGTTACCCGACTGAGATTAAGCCACTGCGGATACCATTTTCGCAGCGTCTTCATCTGGTCGACGTCGCCATTTTTTGCTGCCTCCAGCCATGCTTTTTCGACGCGCGGAAGCTGAGGCATAGGCGAACAACTGCTGATGTAGCTAGCGTAAGGGGACGTGGGAGGACGCCGAATTTTCACAAAATGGCGGATTTCGGGGGATTAGAATATAGGAGATGGCAACAAAGAGACTTGTGGCTCGACACACACCGACGGATCTGGTAGAGGCCAAGTCGAGCTCCAACCTTGGAAGATGAGACTTCGACGAAACATGCGTCTTGGTCTCAAATGATTAAAGGACTCCGCAGACGAGTCGAGAAATGGGCTCTGGAGGACAATCGGACTGGTTACCAGTTGCCCTTGTCAGCCGGATGCTCCTAGCTACGGTGGATAGCCGCCCTCGATATTGAGTAGCTGCAGCACTTTCAGACACGACTTAATGCGCGACCGGCTTTAAAAAAATCGCGTACACCACAGCCACAAAACTCCATGTGTGGCTAGCACGACGGTAGTTCTTTCTATATTTCTTGACATCATCTATTTTGACGAACATTCGGCCTGGGTTAATTGATCCTTGAATTTTTGACAAGTTTATGATTATCTAATCCTTAGCATTACGTGTTTCTCAATTTGATGTTGAAATGCAATGTGTGGAAGCTAAAAAACGTCGAGGCGGTTTTTGAGTCAAAGCCGATAGAAAGGCCCACTGGACGCCACGAACAGCTACGATATGCCGCCTTCATAGACCTGGTGAGACGGACAAATTGAAACCTTCGATTTTTTAGCCTCCCTCGATGTCCTAACCGCATACCATTATATGTATTATAATATTGATTTTGTAATGCGATGACCCTTCCATTTAACCGTCTCGTGTAGATTTTCTAAATAGGGGCTGGATAGACATTTTGAACTTGTGCAATTCTTAGATGATGGGTCAAATTCAGTTCAGTTGGCACCCTGTTTTTATTACGGTAGTTATATGTGATTTAAAGGACTGCGTTTTTCTGCTGCACGCCGCACGTCTGATGCAGCGACAAAATATGTATGTACGTCGTCAGGGTGTATCTGTGGATTGCATTCAGTGCACGCGTACTGGCCATCAGAAAAAGAGAAGAATCCAAGATACGGAAAAATTTCGACAACTTGATCGATCAACCCAATTCAATCCGCGATGGTTGTCCCTAGCACCTGTAAGCCAAAGGTCCAAGTTATTATAGTATTGAAGGGACTGGTGTCACTGACAACTGTGCTTCTGATTTTCTTTCAACAAAATTAAGAGTAGCAAATCGTGTTCAGAAAACTTCTGGATTTTCCGCTTTAACGCAAATATTACGATTAAGAAAAGACATGAAAATTTCATTCCAAATTACAGAACGAGATTGGGGACATGTGATTAAATTTTAATCTGAAGTACAAATGTTAAACGCTCTGAATTCAATTTCGTGTAAGAAGACGTTCTAATAAACTTGTGAAAAATGATGTCGGCAAATTAATTCGATTCCCGAAACTATACTACTTGGATTTAAATGTTTAGCATCTTAAAAAATACTTTAGTGAAAGCAGTCAAAGCACTGTAAATGGATGTGCAGAAAAAATTAAAGCCGATGTTCTTTAAGGCAGTATTGCTACCATAATCTTAACAGTGTTACGTAATTGCGCTATAATTCTGGACAGTAGCAGAAAGCGAATAAAATCTTGTTACTTCCCTTTCCACCTCGACCGCAACTACCGTTTCTTCTTGAGTATGCTTCTCTCTCAAAAGCAAAAGGCAAACTGTGGCCAGATCTCTTGAGTCCTTACAGCTAAACTTTCCGTCCTTAGTCTTCGACCACCTTTCTCCTTCTGGGACTGTACGTGCTGTGCTTACTAAGTCGTACAGCTCACCCAATATCTTAACACGCCGCCCTCCGAGATAGCTCTCTCGGAACTAATCTTCATCTCTCTTCACTCTGCTCCCACACAGTACTTCCTCACGATACTTCTCTCTTTCGGTTTCACGGCGAGTCTTGCTGATCTTCGGTTTCATACCGATGATGGTCTTTGTCCTATCAAGCCGCGTCAACCCCATTGGTTTCGTCAGAAGGTTCGCAGGATGTTCGTCTCCTTTCACGTTCCATAGTATAACACCTTTCTGTCGAACCATATCTCTCACGTAGTGTAGACGTAACTCAATATGACGTGTCTTTCTGCTGTACGTGGGGTGAGTAGCTAGTGAAATCGCTGCTTGGTTGTCAATTCCAAGTTTAAATGTCAGAGTGCTCTTACCGACAATCTCCGACAAGATGTTCTTAATAGCAGCTCCTTCTTGACACGCCTCACAAGCCGCAGCATATTCTGCTTCTGCAGTGCTTAGCGCCACAATTGTTTGCCGTCGCGCAGCTTACGTAACCGGTCCTCCCGCCATCATCATCACATATCCAGTTACGCTTTTTTTCGTGTCCGGGCAATTGCCCCAATCAGCATCAACGTATCCGTCGATTTCCAACTTCTCTGCAGCTTCATTGTCTTGGTTCTTAAAGAGCACGCCATGGTCCGAAGTTGCAACTAAGTACCGTAAAATTCTCTTTAATGCTCCTGCATGTGCTGCGTTCGGATGCTGTACATGACGGCTCAAATAACCAACAGGAAAAGCAAGATCCGGGCGAGTGCTTGTCGCCAAGTACATCAATGCTCCAATTACTTCACGATACGGCAAACCGGGTTCTTTATCACCTTCTTTTGCAGCTTCCAGCTTGACCGTAGTGTCCATTGGTGATCGGCAACCAACAGCGTCTGCAAACCCGAATCGCTTCAAGATATCTTTCGCGTACTTTGTCTGGTGAAGTAAAACACCATCATCTTGCCATTCAACTTGTACACCAAGATAATTTCCTAGCCGACCCAAGTCTTTGATGCCATACTTTGCATCAATGTCTGCGAAAAACGTTGTCTTCCAGCTCGGGTTGTTCGTAGCATAGATAAAATGATCCACGTAGATAAGAAGGAGAGCAATAGATTGCCCTTCAAATCGGAAATACATGCAGGGTTCAGTCGTACTTCTCTCCATTCCTTTTTCACTCAGCCAACTGTGCAGCTCTTCGTACCATTCACGTCCACTTTCATGCAAACCATAAAACGCATTCTTCACCTTGTAAACCCATCCTGGTTTGAGTGGGAATCCTATGATTCGTCGAATGAATGCGAGTTGTTTCTTCGGTGCATTCAGGTAGGCTGTGTTGATATCACCTTGGTGGGCAACCAATCGGTAAATTTGGCAAAGTGCAACAAACAATCTGAATGAAGCCATTCGCGCCACAGGTGAGAATGTGTCCAATACACTGAAGTCAATACCTGGTACCTCTTTGTCTCCAAAAGCACAGAGGCGAGAGCGATAGCGCAAAATATTTCCAAAATCATCAGTCTTGGGCTGAAATCGCCACATCGTCTCAAGTGTTTTCATCCCTATTGGGATGTCCGTCTCCGGAACCAGCTCAAGTACGTCTTTTTCAACCATTGCTGACACTTCTTTCTCCATTTCTTTCCACCATTCGGCTCTCTGGGGTGCGTTCATCGCCTGAGATACTGTTCTTGGGACTTTTAACTCCGAAATGTGCCATGTGCGTTGCTGTGGCTGCGTAGGCGTCTCTGTAATAAGTGCAATCGCGGTTAGCGCAGCATACACTTGCATCTCGTCAGCAGTTAAATCTTCTTCTTCAGGCTCCGCAAACTCCTTCATACCCCTCTTTAAGCGCTGTTTCTTCTCCTTTTCAGCACCATCTTTACTTCCATCACTAAGCGTATTCTCATCCACGTCGTCGAGCAGCGATCTTGCAATTAATTCTGCGTATTCAAATTGCTCTTCAGCTTCTTGGTCAAGATCCTCTGATTCTTCTTCCAAACTCGAGTCCACTGTTTCCTGACACGTGCTAGTATTTGGCTCACTATCATCGTCAACAGCAAATCTGATGTGTTTTATACTGTCACTAACTCGTTTTCGACGACCCACTTCAGGATGCACCGCCATGGTGTTTCCAAAGCTTGGCAGCGGTTTCCGTAGCCATGGCGGCTCTCTGACGCTTGGTCCAACAGATCTTGAGCTATGTTGCTCGGTATCGACGGTATCATTGCTGCTATCTCCGTCACTCCCCCCTACGACTGGTAAGTCGTAATCATGACGGCCTGCACTTGTTAGATCTGGTCGCTCAGCTAGCACCCAGTCTCTTACGCGGCGATCAAAATCAGTGTGGTGTCGATCTTTGTATAGAACTCGTTCGTTGGCAGTGATTTCTCCAGCAATTAATACTGAACCTTCTGCAGGAAAATAGACTTTGCATCCAAGAACTCCATCACGATAGCCGAGCACAAATCCAATCTTGCAGTTGTCGGCAAATTTGTGACGTGAAGGCCCAACCTTCGTGTGTGCGTAGACTAGAGCTCCGAATTTCCTAATGTGGTGAATATCTGGGCGTCTTCCCCACATTCCTTCGTACGGCGTGCAGTTAATTGAACTTGAGAGTGATCTATTCTTAAGATACACTGCATAATACAGTGCTTCGATCCAAAATGACGTCGGGAAGCCCGATTCCTTCATCATTGTCTTCATCATACCACTTATCGTCTGATGGGTACGCTCCACCATGTTCAGCCGAGATGTTTTCGGTGGTATGACGGTATGTATTATGCCGTGTTCCTGGTACCATGTTGTGATCTGTCCATTCTCGAACTCACCACCGCCGTCTGTAATGATCTCATTCACCTTCCATTCTGGTGATTGCCTTTCAGCCCAAACGACATATCGCTTCATCAGTGCATTAATTTCTTCCTTCTGCTTGGTCTGCACCGGATAAATCGTTTTAAACCTCGTGTGAGCGTCCATTATCACCAATACTGCCTTGAAACGCGTACAGTTGTAATGACTTGGCGGAAATAGCAGATCGGCAAACACTAACCGGTTTCGTCGTTTCACTCCACGATCTAGTTGTTTCAATGGTGTTTTTGCGCGTTGTTTTCCAAGTTGACAGGCTTCACACATGTCAAAGTCCCTCTTTCTTAACATCATCCCTTCGACCAAGTTTTGATCGGCCATTTGCTTCACAAATCGAGGGCAGATGTGGCCTAGTCGCTCGTACCAGCTCTGCAAGTCTGCGACGCCATCACTTATTGCGTAGTTGATCATTGTCTTTGGCGCTGACTGGTTTTCTTCCGACTTTTTCCCTGGTAAGAATGAGTTGTCTGCTGTGAACGTCCACAGCTTGGACGGTTGTACCTGCACCTTAAGTGCTACTTCACCGTTCATATTCAACGTGTATTCTCTCGTCGAGTCGTCATATGAGGTTTAAAATCCTTGCTCCGTTGCCGCCGACTGGGAGAGCAAATTTGTCCGTTGTGGCGAATAGTATACGTTCTCGACTCGAAGAACTACTGGATTGTCGTTAACATTGACCCATAAGTCAATTGATCCAATGCCGATTGGAGTACTCTTGCCGTTGTAGCCATGAGCTGTAGCTCTATCTTGTTCTTCTAGCGTTAGATCACGGTAGTTGACAAAGTATCTCTTATCTCCGGCCAACTGCTGTGTTGCTCCATTGTGGTATTCAAGCTTCTGTTGGTACTTGGCAGTGCCTTTCTTCGACTGTGAAGCTTCTCGTGAGTAGGCGCGTCCCTCCTGCTTTTGCGCAGGTCCTTGTGGTTCGCGGCTAGCCACCCCCGACGAATGAGTGAAGTTGGCATGATTGCGGACGTTACCGACACTACTGCCATTTTGGCTCTTCGGCTCTGGCTTCATCTCTTCTGGGCAGTTTCTTCGAGTGTGCCCCGGCTGGTGACAGCCAAAGCAGCTCTTGTTCTCTCGATCTTCTTCATACTGCCGCTGCTGCTCGTCGGTTCTTCTCTTGAAGTATCCCGAGTACTTCTGACTGCCATCGCTGTTTATGGTAGACCTGTCCTTGTTACGATTCTGGTACTTTGGCATCGGCTTGCCACCGTTACTGCGGCCACCTTGCCGACCGCCTCCAGCTTCATCTCGTACATCGGGATTAATTCGAACTTGGGATTGTTTATCCACTAGCTCCTTCTTGTCCAGAACGAGGATCATTGACTTCACTTGATCTGGTGTCTTCATCGTGTGGAGGCCTCCAGTTAGCATGAGAGTTCTCAACACTCTGTAAAATGGCAGCTGCGACACAGATCGAGCCATGAAGTCGACCATCCAAGAGTCACTAACGTCTGCATCCAGTACAACCAACTGTTCGCGTAGCCCCATCATGTACAGTAAGTGGTTCTCAACGTCTGCACCTGGCCGACATGATGCACTTTCGAGCTTCTGACGAACGGCACGTTGTGTGTACAGTGTAGTCATCTCGTTTTCACGCCCTTCAAAGCGCGTAGCCAAGTAGTTCCACATGTCTGACCCGTAGTCCAACCGCATTACTTTCTGGGCGAGGGTGCACGATAGTGAACTTGCAATCAACTTGGCGGGTAACTGGTCTTGCCGCATTAATCGTTGCTCCTCCTCGTTACCATTGGTGTTTCGGTACTCAACACTACCGTCACAGATGTCGTCCAAACGCCAGCCATTGTCCTCTACGTTGTAGCAAGTCAGGTATCTCATCATGGTGCGCTTGTAAAGAGGCCAATTGCGTCCATTCCAATTCACTGGACGGCCATCTTTATTCCACTCTACCTCCGCTTTCTTGGCTTCTGAGTCTCCGTTTCCCTTGTTCAGCATCGTTGGGCTCATAACCCTGTTACGTAATTGCGCTGGTATTCTGGACAGTAGCAGAAAGCGAATAAAATCTTGTTACTTCCCTTACTACCTCGACCGCAACTACGGTTTCTTCTTGAGTATGCTTCTCTCTCAAAAGCAAAAGGCAAACTGTGGCCAGATCTCTTGAGTCCTTACAGCTAAATTTTCCGTCCTTAGTCTTCGACCACCTTTCTCCTTCTGGGACTGTACGTGCTGTGCTTACTAAGTCGTACAGCTCACCCAATATCTTAACATACAGTGCTGTATTATGCCTGTATTTTAATTTGCTTGTTTAATCTGAGCTCTTATCTTCCGATTTTTGCTCACTAAAATCAAAGTTGCCGCATATTTTTTGCAGTATATTATTGTAAATGGGACGACTACGTGTACGAATTGGTAACCGTGCTTTTTCAAAAAGTCGGAGCACATTAGGCGCTACCGAGACTGGGATAGCTGGTTTGAAGTATGCTGAAATGAAGATAAAGATAAGGAAATACGACTGCAGTGGTTTGTTTTAAAATATATTCATATATTGGCTCTTTGTTATTTCTGCTGTTGCTTGGGCTACGATAATAATATACGGAATGTCGGCTCATTTTTCCTCTCAAACGCATCTTTTGGACAGTATTTACTTCAAATATAATGGGATACTGTACCGAAGAACAGAACACCAAAATTAATACTTTGGACCCACTCTCGTAGGAGATACTTCATCCATTGTTTAAAAGTCGACCTGTGATCACTTTCTGCCCGAACCTATGGCTGGCACAACAGCCTTGATCTCAGTGAACACTTCGGGCCTCGTCCGGGCTACGATAACTTTAGATTTCACCTTTTTCTATGGTCCCAGAGCAGGCCATCAACTGGTCAGTCGGTCAGGAAAAATAAATTACATCCTGCTTGAAGCATTGGCATCGAGAAGAAGCTTAATCTCCTCTGGTTGGCTAGGAGCCACTCAGTGTCGTCCGCCAATTTATGGCATTTTTTCGAATTCGTTTAGCTGACCAATTAAACACTTCTTTCCAGCAACATATGAAGGCGTTGGCGGGACCCCGGTATTCCCACACAAAACCGGAATGATTTCAGTACTTGTATTTAAAAAAAATGCAAAAAAAGGATATTAGTAGCCATTTTATTGCTTAGAAGCTGACCTGAACAACTGTTGTAGAGATATGTCCAGCACTTAGCTTCGTTTTTATTTTATTTTTGTTCATCAAGTCAGCATCGAGGGTGAGATGATGGATTTAACACGGTTTAATACAGGCTGCGCCCAAGCGGCACGACACAGTAGCCAAGCTCGACGGCAATTATACAAATGATAGTCGAAATAGTATGCCAATATCTTTAGTACGTCTAATACTCGGTGCTAATACTGAGTAAAAATAAAAATTTAATAATTGCCCTCAACATCGGTTTCCTAAAGGGGGCGGGGTCCCGCCAATACTTTCATATTGTTAAACCATGTTAGTTTTTTACGGGTCAATTGCGGGTCAGGTGTACTTTGATCCAATCGACCCTTTAGCCAGATGCTGATACAGTCACCAAGGCGTGTTTGCGCCCTTCCAGCAGAAGCGACCGGAGCAAACCACGGTAGTTCTAGTGCTATTTACGGACAGCACCAACCAGTTCCAGCAACTCTAAACTACTGTACTTTTCTTTTAAGAGATGTTTCAAACCAACGTCCTTCGTGGAAGACAAGCTCTGCTGCATCCAACGCCAACACGAACGGTGACGAGAACGATTTTGTAAAAGTCATTTCCGTCGACTGTGTCCCCATTGGAGCTTCGGTTCGAGAATATCTTTTCGCGATTGGCAGCTATTGAAACTAAATTAAACCTGACAGATCGTCTGACTGATCATCAAGAAGACGACAGCAATAACGCCACCGAACACGAAAAAGCTCCAGACTCTGAGTCACGACCTCCGGATGGAACCTCGGACTCGAATATTGACAGTCCAACTAGTTTAGAGGACCCAAAAACACCGGAAAATAATGAAAATTCTACGCAGAAAATCTACGCGGACGTGGCGTTAGCTCAGGCGATCGAGTCGCTACGCGCGGCGCAACTTCGACTGAAAATCGAGCACGAAGTGGCCAACTCGACGTTGCAACTAGAACTGGTTAGAGTTAAGAACCGACTTGGTGCAAGGAGCGGCTTTAGATCTGCAAGACTTCCGACAAGAAGTGACGGCCACAGCCATCGCGTCGACTTCAGACAGAGCACGATTGCCGCTCGGATTCAAGATATCTGGGCCGGAGTGCACTCGACAAGTAGAAAATTACAAGAAAGTATGCAGTTTATACGGTCAGTCAGGAGGAATCGTCGCGGGAGATCAACTCGTTCGTAGCGTACGTCGAGTGAGCGTCTACAACGAGACAGCGACAGACACGAGCAAGTTGCTCGCTCGTTGAACAGGAGAAGAGTGTGGAACATCTGCACAACATATACGACCAAAAAGTGGCGGAGCTTCGGTACACAACGCGCCGGGAACAGGCGAGTTTGTGTATCGCGGAGGCTTCCGCATCCCCAAGACGAATCCCCACGCTGTTGTGAACGCCAGTATCAACTCGTTGATCAATCTCTCGATGCAGACATTTGTGTCTGATAAAAGTAAAGAGATCTATGAGACTGGCTTGTTCGACATCGACAACTCGAGCTTGGAGAGGGTCGCGCTGGTGGGCAAACACCAAGGAGAGGGCCCGACGTCCAGCTGCTCTGGCGTCGGGAATGGCACGGCGGCTGTCCGAGCTGCACGGCCTCATACTGCTCCTCTGCGGATGAAGTCGCTGCCTCGACTGGACGTCGCATCAAGCGGGGCAGTTTGATTCTGGACACGACAGGAGCAACAGTTCAGTGATTTCAGGTGGACGCTGGGGCTCTATAACGTCTTTAGATTCTACTGCTTGGAGGACGTTGAGAGGTCCAGGTTGACGCTTTTTAGGATGGTCTCGGCTAGTTTGACGGTGTCGTCGGATGACGGGTCCTTTTCTCCGTCCTTGTGGACACTCGTGTCCATTTCGAGTGACCTCAATTGAGTCATGCAGGCTTTCGCTTGTGTCATCATGTCGAGAGGTAAGAGGCCGCAGGCTGACGATGTCCCGAGAGCCCCACGTAGCCGTGCGAAGCGGAAACTGCGCACTGCCCCCTCTGTGAAGCCCTGGTCGAAGCCTTGCTGCAGCGTGTCTTCCTTTCCCAGCTCCAGACCGTCGCGGATGCCCATCTGACGGTTCAGTATAGGTTTGGAGAATAGAGATATCAAATATAAGAGAACCAGTGTGATGGCTATCTGCGAAGCCTTACAGTCTTCATGCGACGCTCCAACGCCACGCTCTCCTGGTTAAGCAGTGTTTCGTGCTCTTCTTCATCGCTCAATGAGTCTTGGAAGCCGTCATCTGAGTCGCTGGCAGCAAGCGACGATTCGGCAGAATGCCTCGTCATAATTGCAGGTTGGAAAGAGTATGCCAAATTTGATTGAATGAAGCATGCGACAATATGCTTTTTTATTTTTTTAAAATGGCCCATTATTTTTAAGAAAAATGTGACGTTGCAAGGTTTTTCTCTTCAAGAAAAGCTAGCCTACAAATTCGTTCAGTAAGAAAAGCACTCTACATGTAATAATACAGCGCACTTCGAGGATTGCAGTCTTTGTTTTAGCATCTTTTGTACGGAATAATAGGTTTCCACGCTTTGAATGCTTTGCATGATTCAGCAGTAAATACGGCTGCTAGCCTGCAAGTCTGCAGCTTACTGATTCCGAAAATTGAGTCAGCATCGGATAAATCGCTTTAAATGTTTTTTATTAAAACAGGGTTGTCACTTATTCATAACTAACGACATCCGATGACATTGACGGCGGCAGTCTCGATTCACCCGCCACGCCTTATGCTCACAGGCACAAGACTATCTCAGCGCGTTACAGTGCACAGGCCGTGATGCCCGAAAGGCCCTAATCAGAGTCCCGATGCAGATAATGACCAACGTCATTGACCGCATATGTATACACCATTGCCGAATGCCCCGTGGCGGGACAACCTCCGGGCGTGAGGCAAAATTGGACACTGAGCTAGTCGTCCATGACCATATTGGTCACGGCGTCGGCCATCTTGTTGTGCTCGCTGTAGTGATCCCGCCAAGAGAGAACCGACAGTTTCTCTCGTGCACACTGACTCTGGTAGTACATATTCTTTCGGTAGGCAGCCTCGTGATTAGTCTGCAGATAATGTCACCTGAGCACCAGTTGTCTGTCGTCAGTTATGTGAAGGGGAGACCACCCAGCCCTAAGGCAGGCATGGGGTCCCATCTGGAGGCCCATAGTCTCAGCAAAGTTGTTGGTCATACGGTGGATTCGTACGCCATGCTGCTCACCCAGCACACGGTCGTGCTCGGGTCCACACTTACCCACTCCCGCCCGGGTCGGGGTTGCCATGTGACCCTCCATCTAAGAAAGAAGGTAGCGTCGGGGTCTTATCAGAGCTAGATCACGCTGCACTGCTTCGTGGTCTCGAAGCACCAAGCGCATGATACGTGCGGCACGCTCATACAGCAGCGGTGAAGGCTTCATTCCCGGTGTGGGAACATCTTTGCTCTTCTTTCTTTCTGCTTCTTCTATTTCAGAAGGCGAAGATGAGCAGTGTTATATACACTGAGAGGGTCGAAGTGAGCCACCCGCCATTCTTACACGCTGTGGAAGTAGAAGGCACCTCCGACCCTCCAACAGCTCCCCGCTGCCTCTGTGAGCACCGGAGCTAGGTTGCCTAGCTTCGCTACTGTCAGCGCGGACGTCCAGATCCCGATCGGTTGCTTGGGAAGTACTAGTCCGAGACGAGCGTGGGTGTCGCGTGCCTATCCCAGCGCCAGCGTTGAAGGAGAACTGTCCGAGCCGCTCCGCCGCCGAGCAGGTCCAAAAAAACGTGGAAAAGATCTACATTTCCTACCTGGACACAACTCCGGTGTGGGCAGCTTGAGAGTCCGGTTGTCGGTCGTACAGGGTGCAGGCGTAATGCTTGACCTTAAAGAGGAGTTGTTCGCCCCACAAATTAACTCGCATGATGCGGCGAAGGCGATACCATTCTAGTAGCACTGCTGGGATACTGCCAACACCGAGGCCGGTGTAGGAAGTATCCCAGCAGTGCTAACAACAAGCTGCACTGATAAGGCTCCTGATGCGGGAGCCAACCACCACCGTAGCACGGAAATTATGCCTGAATTATTAGTTGATGTGAGGAAACCGTCGTATATTGAGAAGTGAGAGGAAGCTAACTACGTTCTACTCGTACCTTGCTTCTTCCTCTGGCCATTCATCCTCACACCTTATTCCGCAGTAGTCCCATCCGGAGAGCGGCCGGGCGAAATGCCACTATACCGTAACCGCGGTTACACTCGGTTACAGATCCTCTTCTAACACTCCTCCTCGCTCGTCACGCTCGCCAGCTACTACTCCAGCATGAAAATCCTCCGAAGCTCGTCCAATCTGGCTGCCGGAAGCGCCTTCGTGAGAAGGTCGGCCTTCATTAGTCGTGACTCCACATATCCTGGTTTGATCACACCTCGCCGTGCAAAATCGCAGATGAACTTGACTCGGATGTCTACGTGCTTTGCACTGGACATACTGTCTTCGGTCTCTAGCTGCCTGATGGCGGCCTGGTTGTCCATATACATGGTCATTGGCTCTACCACCGCAAACTCCAGCTCCCTAACGAGCTCTCGCAGTCCAAGCAGCTCACGTCCGACATTTGATGCTGACGTAAATTCTGCCTCCATCGTGGATAGAGACACTCCAGTCTGTTTCTTACATATCCACTGCACGATGGCCCCGTCGAGAGTGATAACTCCGCCGGTCACCGACTTCCTGTCGGCCTTATCCGCCGCGAAATCTGCATCACTCCAGCTTTCCAGACAGATCCGTCTTCCACTGGCTGCGTCTACTCGTATTTTGACCTTTAGTTCCTTTGTCTGCTTCAAGTACCTAGCGATCCGCTTCGCGAGCTTCCAGTCGTTTACGGTAGGCTGATGGGTGCGTCTCGTGGCCTTGTGGACCGCAAAGCTAATGTCTGGTCTCGTACAGCGAGCTATCCATAGCAGGCTGCCGACGAGAGACTGGAAACTTCGTACTGTAGGCTCTCCGCGCCCTCCTGACTGCATCAACAGCTGCGGTGCTCCTTGTTCGGCTTCGTTACATTCTTCTCCGATTGGTGCGCGTACTCCGTTTGCGTCCGCGAGCCCGTACTGCTCCAGTAGCTCTTCAATCGCAGCTTGCTGATCCAACGAGTAACCGTCCGATTCATGAAGCTCTACACGCATGCCCAAGAACTTTCGTACCACACCCAGATCCTTAATGGATAAAACACTCATCGCTTGAAAAAAATCTTCGACTAGCTCTGGTTTGGAGGCCGTCACTAGAAGGTCATCCACATACACTCCTACCAGAGTCATGTCGCTGCCGTGCTTCTTGTAGTACATGCACATGTCGGTAACGCACCTAGTGAAACCGATCTTCTCCAACTTAGCGTGTAGTAGCTTGCTCCACAAGCGCCCCGCTTGCTTCAAACCATACAGCGACTTCTTGAGCCGCAGCACCAGCTTGCTGCTGGTGTCCACGCCGAGAGCGCGTAGCACCGCCTCAGATATTTGCATGCCCTTTGGTATAGCCAGATAAATCTCCAAATGCTGCTCTTTGTCCGCCTTGACGTACGCGTTTGGTATATCCCCGTGTCGGGCAGGCACACGCCAGCGCCGAGCAAACACCAGCACTATCTTTACGGTGCTCAGCTCCATTACCGCCGCAAACGTGAGGTTGTAATCAATGCCAAAGAGCTGTTCGTTTCCGCAAGCAACCAACCGAGCTTTGAACCGCTCGATGGCGCCGTCGGCGTCCGTCTTGGTCTTAAAGACCCATTTAGTGTGCAGTACGTGGCTGCCAGTTGGCGGCACCTCGACTGTCCACACTCCGTTCTCTTCAAGAGCTCGCAGCTCTTCTACCATAGCAATTACCCACGCGTCCTTGAGCCCACTCTTCATTGCTTGTCCATAGTTCTTGGGGTCCGCCTCACGCACGCTATTTACCACGTCGTGTATCGCCCCATCCTGACTGTTATCGTCACTAGTCGTTCCTGCTCCAGCAGCCTTTTGAGTAGTCGACCTCGTCCGATGCCTTTCCCGTGTCCAACCGCCCTTGGACTTCCTTTTGGCTTTCTTTTTCCCTTTCGATCCCGCTCCCGTACTGGCAGCATTCGCATTGCGGTCTTCCTCGTTTGTCTCTTCCGACTCCTCGAGGTGTACGCGCCTCAGCTGCTCGTTCTGTACGTCCGAGAGCGTCTCCACATTCCGTACGTGCTGGGTCACCACGACCACTTTGTCCTTAGGGATGTAGACTCTGTACCCCTTCATCTCATCGCTTTTACCAACGATTATCGCAGCTTTACCGCGTTTTCCTAGCGACTTGTTCTTAGGGTCTGTGTGTACCGTGCACGGAGACCCAAACACCACGATGTCGCTGAGGTCGGGGGTGCTCTTCGTGAGCATCTGCAACGGCGACTTGGACCCGGGGTTTGCCTTACTCGGGCTTCTATTCAGTATGTACGCCGCGTACTCTGCAGCGTCTCCCCAGAAGCTGAGTGGCAGACCACACGCGAACACCATGCTTCTCACCATGTTCATAATGGTGCGGTGCATTCGTTCTGCTTTTCCGTTGCTGGCTTGATTCCTGGGCTCGCTTACTTGCCGCGCAATGCCAGTTTCTTTACAAAACAAATCTAGAGTCTGGTATTCACCTCCTCCATCCGTCCGCAGCACATGGATACGACAGTTAAACTGGTGCTCAAAGAACGCCATGAAGTGTTTAAACTTCTGAGCAGCAACGTCCTTCGTCCGTGCCAAGAAGATCCTGCAATAGTTCGTCCTGTGATCGACGAAGTTCACCATGTACCTGTTGCCGAGTCTGTCTCTTGGCGTCATTGGTCCCTTGAGATCTGAGCATATAACACCGCCAATGACGTCGATAGGTGCGTTGGCTCCTGTGTCCTTTCTGGACTGTTTGTTCTTCGTTTGCTTTCCTTGTGCGCAGGCCAAGCAGTTCGCTCGCTTCTCATCCGTGAGAAAGATTCCAGACGCAGGATTCTTGGCCATCTTGAGGATAGTATCGTAGTTCAGATGTCCTAGGCGGCGGTGAAAGTGCATCAGCGTGCCCCTCTGTACGTCTTGTCCTGCCTCCTCATTCTGTTCGCTTGGCGCCAGTACCGACATGAGTACGTCGCCGGCGCTTCTTTCACGCCCCTGTACTTGCGCGCGCACCACCAACACGTTGTTGACTTTCTCTACGTCGAACACTGCTGGTCCTCCAGTCATTGCAGCAACTACACGATGTTGTCCTCGGTAGTCAATCTTGTAGCCTTTCTTCTCTAGCATTCCGTAGGAGATAATGTTCTGCTCCAAGTTCTCTG